CTAACTACCTGGCCATGCCGGGCCTTTCAAAAAGTGATCAACAGTGACGTTGCTTGACTTCTACAAACCAATATACAAAAATAAATTCTAGTTATTGTTTAATGAGTAGTATAATAACATCTATGTGTGCTATAAATAATATAATCTTACCATAATTATGTGTACGTGTTCTCGCATCAATTCCCCATCATTTTTCAAAACTTCAATTATTTTGAAATATTTTGTGTAAGCCTAAATCATCCAGTATCGTGTAAGCCTAAATCATCAAGTATCGTGTTTGCCTTGATGAAGTAGAAACGGAGAAATGTTGGCTTAAATAAAACCAATTATGTTTTTCTGGAGTAATATGTCACATTTTATTTATCTTTTTTTTTTAAAAAATGAAAACAAATTTTAAATTCTCATTATAATAATAATAAATTTAACTTCTAAACCTATCTATAAAATTTTTACTAGAATAGTTATAATATTTAAGTGTCATCTACTATTATTTTTGTTAAATCAGGATGACGAAGTTTCCTTCCTGAACCAAAAACTGGAAAAGTACCAAGCAGAACAACAGAAGAAGAAAGAAGTGGTTGAAGAAGCTTTCCAGGAATTGAAGCAGGTGGATGACAGGTGTCAGAGTTTGGATGTGAAAATAAAGTCCTTGTTGAATGAAACTCATCCTGTCAAGGTAGCCATATGTAGTAAAGTTGATATTTATTTTCTGATTTAAAAAATCACTTGGTTACTTTTTGTTCTGCATATTTGTAAGGGCCGATACAAGTTTGACGGACGTACTTTGTGCTAAACATCATTATATATGGAGACTTTGAACCGTCTCAATGAATAAATTATCTGTAAACCATTTCCTCACCTGATGTTGTTCACAACCATCTGTTCTCCCAAGTAGACAGACTGATTTCGAGGTAATCACCTCCATTTAGTAACCCCAGTTTTGGAGGAATACTACCCCCATTAGTAAACTCAATTTTGGAGAATACCACCTCTCACCCGTAACCTTAGCCAACATTTCAATATGATAAATCACTCGTTATCAGTATTTACCATCTTTATATTTCTGTAGCCCATTATTAAATTAGATCTCATCTTTGTTTTAATTTTGTATTATTCTTTTATTTTACTCATAAACATCTGGTTTAGAGGTTCAAAACCTTCTACACCCTGGTTGCTGTTATCACTTTGTACTAGGTGTTTATGGTTGCTTAAGAAAATTTGGGGCTCAGGTCAATAGGTGCGGGAATTAGCTCAAGAGAGTCACTAGACACTGGTACATGGGGCCATGCTCTGATTCTATTTGACAGTGCTCCAAATCACCAGTTGGTGTCTTGAAAAATCAGAATAGAAAATAAAAAATCATAGAGAATCAGAGCATGGCCCCCATGTACCAGTGTCTAGTGACTCTCTTGAGCTGATTCCTTAAAACTAAAGCATGATCAGTTATTTGTTAAAGAGTTGTACATTATATATATGATTCATTCTGATTATTATTCCAGGAAAAATTGAATCAAATTGACAGCGAGATTGAGCAGCTAAAAGCAAGCCGACGCCATTACCAGGATAAACTAAAGAAACATGCAGAGACAGTTGCAAGGATGAAGAGAGAATTTGAAATAGCTAAAAAAGATTGTGAAGTGAGTATCGTATGATAAAAAAAAAACCTTCTTTTAGGAAAACAGTTATTCTCATTCTTCAAAGAGCCCCCCCCCCCAAAAAAACCCTAACAGATCCGTGGATAATAAAATCTTTTTCAGTACTTCTGATGGGGAATAATTCAGACTTTATTATCAGAGTTTACACGGTAAAACCTGTCACCACACACACACAAAGTAATAGTGTTCTTCGAGGCTCGACTGTGTGTT